ACCTCCCTGCCCTGTTGCCTTTTCTCTAAATACGAACAACACTAGTGACCACACAAAAGGACCCTCTGACTTTGAAATTATGCCATATGGGCTGAGGTTATGGCTCAGTGGTAGAGCGCTCGCCTAGCATGCACAAGGCACTGGGTTTGATCCTTAGCACCACATAAATGTAAAATAAAGATATTGTGTCCACCTAAAACTAAAAAGAAATAAAAAATTTAAAAAAAAAGAAATTCTGCAATATTGGAAATCTTCCTCCTTTTTTCAACAGATTGTTTTTTCAAGCTCAAACCCTTCACAGAAATATGAGCAATAATTTTTTCCAAGGGTTGCAGATCTATAATATTATCCATTTTCTCGTGGTGGGGAAAAAAAGGTGTTACCTTGATCTCTTGGGAATCTTCCGACCACAGTAGTAGAAGTCTCCTGCTTTTGTTTTAATGTTGGCAATCTTGGGTCTCTGCAAAGCAGAAAGAAAATGTCAACAGGAATTGGTTTCTAATGTCTCATCTTACAGTTTTCAAAAAATGTCTTTGGTGGTGTTATTTTTTTTTTCAACAAAGTGCTAACGTACAGCCCTTTGTCTCCTTCCTGTGAAACAGAGTTATAAAGATTTAAGTGACTTGATCCATGTGCAAAAGTGATTAAAACATCTAGCACAGAGTAAGCTTTCAATACATAGAAATAATGATGGTTAGGGTAGTGGAAAGTATCAAGTTCGTGTTGCTAATTTTTTCTTCATATTCTTTTCTTCTTCTTCTCCGCCTCCCTCTTCTTCTCTCTGAAGTGCTGGGGATTAACTCTGGTTTTCCTCAATTGTCCATTCATATTTAAGAAATCAGACCTTATCATCCTCAAAAGTCTGCAATGTCCCTGATCAGGGGCCCTTGGAATGTGAAAATGAGACATCAGTGATGGTGCCCACCCAGCACCCCTCACCCATTCACCCAGTAACTCACTGAGATCTGTTTGATCACCCTACTCTTTTCTGGTAGGCACTATCATTACTCCATTTTGAAGATGAATCTGAGGCACAGAAAGGTTAAGAAATTAACCTGAACTCACACAGTATTATCAGTGAAAATCTACGTGCCTGAACCATTACACCAGACTCCTCAGTACCTTCAATTTCTTTATTTCTTCTTCTTCTTCTTCCTCTTCTTCTTCGTCTTCCTCTTCTTCTTCTTTTTCTTCTTCCTCTTCTTTTTTTTGGGGGGTGGGGCAGGTGGGAGGACTGGGTATTAAACTCAAGGGCACTCCACCACTGAGCCACATCCCCACCCCTATTTTGTATTTAATTTAGAAACAGGATCTCACTGAATTGCTTAGTGCCTTGCCATTCTTGAGGCTGGCTTTGAACTCGCTATCCTCCTGCCTCAGCCTCCCAAGCTGCTGGGATTGCAGGTGTGCACTACTGCACCCGCCCGGCTGTATCTTCAATTTCCCTCCAGCAGGAAATCTTTATTCTTCTCATCTACACAGATTATGCCTCTGTTTTTTTATTTTTTCAGCCCTAATTTTCATATTTTGCACTGTACTTAATCTGAAGTTTTATTTATTCATTCAGCAAACATTTGTTATGTTTTGTTGAGAGCCTAGCCTGCTGATTAAAGATTTCAAATGGGAACCACCAAACCACCCTTGCCTAAACAGCTCACCATGGAATGTGACTACTTTGTAAGGATTCTGCCTCGGCTTCCTTCTTCCCTGACTAGTACTTCATCTGCTGGATCCCACAGAGCTGTCCTCCACTATGCTCTCTCTCTCTCCCTGCCACCCCCCCCCCTCGTTTTTCCCCCTTTTTGATACCAGGGATGTAATCCAGGGGCACTTAACCATTGAATCACATCTCCAGCCTTTTTATTTTTTGAGACAGGATTCCCATTAAATTGCTCAGGGTCTTGCTAAATTGCTGAGGCTGGCCTTGAATTTGCAATCCTCCTGCCTCAGCCTCCTGAGCTGCTGAGGATTACAGGCATGAGCCACCTTGCCCAGCTCCTTCTTAAAGAAGATGTTTCAGCATGTTTTCATGAGGCCCCAAGCTGGCCCCTGCCTATGGTGGGAAGATATATTAGTACAAGAGCACCATCTCCAAAGGAGCCCCCTTCATAGCATGAACTATGTAGATTTCCAGTCCGTTTGAACCATCTCTCTGAAGACAGAAGAAGAGTCTCTCGAGAAGAGGGACTTCAAACAAGTTGTCACAGTCGGGCACCATGATGCACACCTGTATTCCCAGTGGCTCAGGAGGCTGAGGCAGGGGGATTGAAAGTTCAAAACCAGCCTCAGCAACTTAGTGTAAAGGCCCTAAGCAACTCAGCAAGACCCTGTCTCTAAATGAAATATAAAAAAGAGCTGGGGATGTGGCTCAGTGGTGATGCACCCCTAAATTCAATCTCCAGTATTGGGGGAAAAACGTTCTCATGCAAGTGCCAAGGGCGGGGCTAGTGGTGGATGGTTCACCAAGAATTATTTCAAACTATTTCCAAGGATGTTGGAAAATCTTTTTTTAGCAAATTTTTTTTTCTTTTTAAAAACTTTTTATTTACAGAAAAATTTAAACATACACAAAAGTAGGCAGTAATTAACCTCCACACGCCCATCACATACAACTTCTTTTGAATTCTCTTAAATTTAAAAATAGATATGGTAAATAAAGCATTTGGGGTAGCAGTCTGTTGCCAAATCAAATGATAGGATTTCGCAGCTCTTAGGCAATGGAATACTCCCCTCCCTCCGTTTTCTTTCCTCCTGCCCTAGGGAGGTTTGGATCTTTTTATCTCCTCCTCCTTTTCCTCCTCCTCCTCCTCCTCCTGGTTGTCCTCCTCCTCCTCCTCCTTCTCTCTCTCATTTTCTCAGCTGCATGCCTGTTATCCCAGAAATCCAGGAGTCTGAGGCAAGAGGATCACAAGCTCAAGGTCAGCCTCCACAACCTAGTGAGACCCTGTCTCAAAATAAAAAATTAAAAGGGCTGGGGATGTAACTTAGTGGTAGAGCACCCCTGGGTTTAACCCCAGTACTTACTAAATAAATAAATAAAGTACGATATTATGAAGACCATATAATAGAAAAGGGTTATTAATTCATGTTAAAATAGTCCCCAGAATATAAATTTGTATGTACACAGCGATGTCAACTGCATGGATATGCATATTAAAAAAAGAACTAGAGGGAAAGAGAAAAACATGAAACCGGCTTTTATATCAAGTGGTGTGTTTGTCATTGATTTATATTTCATCTTTAAAAATTCCTTTAATGCTGTTACAATATGATTTTCACTATAAACAACATTTACAATGGAACTAAAAAATACTGGTGTTCATTAAAGCAATGGCTTCATGAGGGTAAACGGCACCCAGGGGATACATAATATCTCTGCTCCTTTCTCCCTGAGCCCAGAGCTAGAATCTGCAAAGACTGCTGTTTTTGCCAGGCATCCAGAGCTGAGCTGGGGAGTGTGTGGGCTCCTCAGCTCCTCCACCCTCTTCCCTGCACCCCTGGCATTTGAGAAAAATTTCAGAAAATTTCACACAATTCTACCAACCCACACTTCCAGGACCCGAAGCACATTACTGGCCACAGCTGCAGTTTTTAGTGTAGTAAGTCAGAGGTGTACCCGTGCAATCAATCAAGAGTGACTCTACCGTGCCAGCTAACAAGTCACCCAGCACTTCCTGTGCACCAGACACTGTCCCGGGCGCTTTACCTATATCAACTCATTTAATTTTCAATATCACAGTGTGACGAAGGGGCTTTTCTCTTGACCCTATTCCCAGATGAGGAAACTGAGGCACAGAGCATTTAAGCAGCTTGCCTGGGGTCTCACGCCACCCACGAGGACGTAGAACCAGGAGCCAAGCCAGGCTGTGTAGCCCCCCAATCACTGGTCATGGTCACCATAGTGCTGCAGTACCATAGTGCTGCTTTACTAGAAGAAACTAGGAACATTGTGTTATGAACGTCTATTGTTTGGGGGCATTCAATGTCCCTCAATTCATTTAATCTTCCTAACAACCCTAGCAGGAAATCATTATAGTCACCATTTTATAGAAGAAGAAATGGAAGCTTGATGAGCTAAGCCATGTAACCAATTAATAAAAGGCACACTTATATTTTAAATCTAGATATTCTAGCTCTAAAGCCTTTGCGTACGTGTATGTGTGTGTGTGTGTGTGTGTGTGTGTGTATGATTTCTACTAGTAAAACACATCATTGAAAGCATCAAGACATATCTGTAAAAACTGTTTCCATAAATTAATAATCAAATTATTAATTCCCCGTGAAAGTAACATTTGTAGCCATTAGTTCTATTCTTTTTAAATTTTTTTTGTAGTTGCAGATGGACAGAATGCCTTTTTTAAAAAAATATTTTTTTTTTAGTTGTAGTTAACATATACTTTTATTTTATTTATTGTATGTGGTGCTGAGGATCGAACCCAGGGCCTTGCACGTGCTAGTCGAGCACTTTACCGCTGAGCCACAACCCCAGTCTCAGAATGCCTTTATTTTATTTGTTTATTTTATGTGGTGGTAAGGATCAAAACCTGTGCCTCATACATGCTAGGCAAGTGCTCTGCCACTGAGCTACAACCCCAGCCCACAGTAGTTCTATTTTTAAATATTAAAAAAATTAAAAAGCTGGGTGCAGTGACACACACACCTGAAATTAATTTCACTGATTCGGGAGGCTGAGGCAGGAGGACTACAAGTTCAAGGCCAACCTGGGCAATTTAATGAAACCCTGTCTCAAAATAAAAAATAAAAGGGTTGGGGATGTGGCTCAGGGATGAAGCACTCCTGGATTCAATTCTGGGTACCAAAAAAAGACCTTTTCATAAGATTTTTCCAGATGGATTATTTTGTGTGAATTCTGGCTTACTTTCTATATCATATTGAATCGGAAAGTGAATTGCCTATGAAGTATTATATCATATTGTATTATGTTTTGTTATATTTTAGCTACAAAATAGCAGGCTAATACTCAGAGACAGAACAATAAATATTCTGTATTCTCATTAGATCATTATGCATAAAAAAATTATAATTTGTTATTGAAAAATTACCTACCTCTACTAAAACCATTACTAACTGTTCATGGTTTGTCTGCATTTCCACAAGATGTGCAGACCTAAACTTGCCAAAATGTCACAAGCTGACACAGAGTTATGAGCCTTCAAGAAAGGGAGCTGGGTTCTGCCTCCTGCCCCCCACCCTACCCCCAACTGTTTTTCTGAGGCTTCTTACCTTTGGACTTGGGGACTCAGGGAGCCCAGGGCTTGGGCAGGCATTTTCTTGAACCAAAACATATTTTCCACTCACTCTAAGTAATTAATAAATTTTGAAAGAAAAAAAAGCCTATATATGTAGAATCAGACATTTTTACAAACGATGTAGCAAACTGGCTGTAATGATCTGCTTGTAGGCAAAAAAAAACCCTTCTGATTTAGAGCTCTTTAAAAT